CTGAGGAAAGGGCCAGCAGAGGAGGCCTACCCACCATGAGGCATACCTCAGAGCCTTGTCAAGGCTGCAGAGAACATTCCTCAGGTAGCCCTCTGTAAGTAGAAGGCATTGTGTGGGACTGGCTGGAGAGAGAGCCAAGCTTCGCAGTGGGCGGGGGCAGAGGGCTCCCAGGCCAGAGCCCAGCAGCAGGAGTACCTGCCTGCCTGACTCCACCCTGCCCTCAACTCCTAGTAGCATGTGCCCCTCCTTGCGGGACCCTACAGGCTGGCTTCCTGGCCTGCTCCTGTGGCCCCTGACTGACCATTTGTTATGGTCCCCAAGTGGGCAGCTCCTCCAGGCCTGTCTGGCAGTCATCTCTATCCACCTTCCGGGTATGGCAGCCCAAGCCCTACTTTTCCCTTTGTGACTAGGGGCCACAGATTTCTGCCTCCGCCATAGCCGGCCCTTCTCCCCGTAACCTGGGCCTCTGCTATGGACTTAGGCCTCGAAGAAAGTGCCAGCCGCGACTCCCACAGGATGGTGTGTGTGCAAGTCCCAGGCTCTGCTGTTCCAGGAAGAGGGCCCCCAGCATTCCCCTGGGCCATTCCACTGCAGCCTCCTCAGCCCTGCCCCTTCTCCTCCCAACCCTCCGGAGCAGCGACTGGCCCAGCGGGTTAGGCTGGCCCAGCCAGGAGGAAGCTGGGCTAAGTTGGCCACAGTCTTCCTCAGAGGCTGGCTCCAGTGGGACCTGCTTCCTCTCCCTCCCAGGATTGCTGCTGCTCCAGACACACCCCAAGCTAGCTCAAACCCCCCACCCACCCACCCACCCACCTCATTCCCGCCCCCAGAAGCTGAGGTCACAGGCTCCCCTGGGCTGGGGTGGGGTTGTCATCACCTGGCAGTGGGGGAGGAGGCAGGGCCCTGGGGGCTGTTGTCTTAGAGATTGGGTAATTTGGGAACTCGACTCTGCCAGGACTGGTTGCTGAGCCAGGCTAGAACCTGTGGACTGCAGCTCCTTTGGCCTGGGGGGTTTGGGTGGCAGTTTACAGTTTCTGGGAAATCCTGTGGGGACCGGCTGGGCGGGAGTGAGGCCTGGGTTTGTTCAGAGGGCTTGAGGCACAGGATGTACTCTTTCCCCCAGCAGAGCCCCACAGGTCTCCTCCACCTTGGGCAGCATGCTGACTGACCTCTCCTTCCTCAGGTGTCCCTCAATGCTTGGTTCTGGTCCACGGTCTTCCATACCAGGGACACTGACCTCACAGAGGTGAGCTCCTCCCAGCCCCTGCATGGTACAGTTCCAGGGGAGCCCAGGAGAGGGCAGAGCAGGCTCCGTAGAGTGAAGACAGCTCCATTTGCAGAGCCTGCTAGCCCAGGGCAGCCCGTGGAGTCTTACCTGGATCATGCCAGGAGAGTTTTGTTATTGATTTCCTGATCTCTAAGGCCACTGAGCCTGGGAGAGATGAAATTGTTTTCCCTGGGTCACCCAGCTAATGTGATCAGGACTGGAGTTCATGTCTATCACACCCCAGTTCCATAGTGTGCCTTCATAGTGAGGCCCTTCTCAAAGCCATGAATGTCTCACTGCTGGACCATGTAGAACGTTTTATAATGTGGACACAGAGAAGCAGCCATAGGCAGAGGGGATGCAAGACGGGGCTCCTGCAGATTGCAAGCCTAGACCCTGTCCCTCACTGCCTCATCCCTGTGGCTCTTCTGTGGGCCTGCCTGTGCTATGTTCTGCTCCCTCACCTGGCACTCCTGGCTCTCCCTACCCACAGAAGATGGACTACTTCTGCGCCTCGGCTGTCATCCTGTACTCTGTTTACCTGTGCTGTGTCAGGTGAGCCCTGGGGGCTGTGGGCAGAGAGGGAACTGTCCAGAGCTTCTTCCTTGGCCTTCTCACATTTCTGCAAGGCTGTCTTGGGTGGGGGTGCCAGGGACAGAAGGGATCTGGCTACTCCTTGTGGCCCTTGGTTTCTGGGAAACCGTTGGTTCGCTGGGGGCAGGGAAGGACAGTGGGCGAGGGGGTGGCTGAAAGATCACGGCTCTGGGGATAGCCAGCCAGGCACTGTCTGAGCTGCTCTGGGTGGTGGGACAGGACCGTGGGACTGCAGCACCCGTCAGTGGCCAGCGCCTTCGGCGTCCTGCTGCTGCTGCTCCTATCAGCGCACATCTCTTACCTGAGCCTCGTCCGCTTCGATTACGGCTACAACATGATGGCCAATGTGGCCATAGGTGAGGCCCCTTGCAGAGCTGTGGGTGGGCAGGAGGTGGCTTCTTGGGGGATGTTCTGGAGAGACTCTTGAGGGCAGGGAGGAGTTGAGATGGGAGGCTGGTGGTGGGTGGAGTCGGGGCGAGGCAGCTAGAGTCAAAGAGGACGGCCAGTGAGTGGACCTCTTGTGTCCCTGGCCCCCAGGCCTCGTGAACCTGGCCTGGTGGCTGGCCTGGTGCCTACGGAACCGCCGGCGCCTGCCGCACACGCGCAGGTGTGTGGTGGTGGTGCTGCTGCTGCAGGCGCTGTCCCTGCTGGAGCTGCTCGACTTCCCGCCCCTCTTCTGGGTCCTGGACGCCCACGCCATCTGGCACATCAGCACGATCCCTCTCCACATCCTCTTTTTCAGGTGAGTGCCACCCCCTGCCTCGGGGTTTCCTCCTCTGCACCCTAGGGCAGACTGGGGCTCCCTGTGCCCACTCGGCCTTCCCACTTGCCTCCTGTCACTCCACTGTCTGGGGGGTTCGCAGAGCTGGGTGACTGCCTCAGTGGGGTCATCTCCACACCCACAGGTTTCTGGAAGATGACAGCCTGTACCTGCTGAAGGAATCTGAAGCCAAGTTCAAGCTAGACTAAAGATGCTCGAAAGGGACACACCTGCCTCGCTCCTGCTTCTCCTCCTTCTCCCCCTTGAGATGACTGTTTTCTCCTTTTAGCTTCTTGAACTTGAACATGTGGGGCATGGGCTTGGAATCATAGAGCCACCTGCCCCTTGCTGGCTTTCACAGCCAGGGCCTCCTCGCGTCTGGGACAGGAAGTAGGCAGCCCAGCTGTGCCTGGGGCTGAACTGGGAACAGGTGTTGAGGTCTCCAGAGAGAAGTGCTGCTTCTGTCTCTTCAGCCCACTCCCTTCTCCACATCGCTCACCCTGATAGTACCACCCCACGTAGGGCCACTTACCCCTAAGTGCCACGCCCACAGGCCTTTGGGGTACATTGGGGTCTCTTTTTGTCAAGGAGCCACTAGGTGGCACTGGAGGCCTGCTCTTCGGCTGCCCAGGTTTCTTCGTGGGTCTGCGGAACTGAGCTGCAGGGGCTGGTACCAAGGAGGGGCTCTCACCCTGTCCCTTGAACCAGCCACCCTTTCCTTCAGAGCCAAGACCCCCGGGGACTCAGGATTAGAACCCTGGCTTCCATTCTGGTTGGGAGTGGGCACATTCACACATAAAGGGATGTGGACCAAGCTAGGCGCAGAGATAGTCAAGGAGCTGAGTTTGGCAGCCCTGGGGCATCGTGGGCCTGTGTAGAGAGTGGCTGTGTGCTCAGGAGGCAGGTGGGCGAGGGTGGGCTTGGGAAGGTGTGTCTGAGATGAACATGAATGTGCTACACTCGTAGGAGGCGGGAGTGGAATGGGGGAACCAAGCCATCACCAGCAGCCATTTGAGTCCAAGTCTCCCCAAGACCCCAAGTCCTGCCAGCTGCTAGTATGTGCACATGACCTGTGGGGTGCAGTGCATGTGGATGCCACCCAGGACCCCTTTGCCCTCCACTTCCACTCCAAATCACAGCTCCCACCCCCCCGCTGCATGTCTTGAGAACACCCTGCAGAACTAGCCCCTGGAGGGCAGAGCGAGGAAGGGACAAAGTGTGCCCCCCTGGCTCCTCTCTCCCTTGGCATGGTGTGCCTCCCACTCCAGTTCCCTGCTGGAGCCCCTGGTCACAGCCTGAACTTTGGGGGCATCAGGCAAAGGGGAAAGAGGGTGTGGAGCTTGTGTTTGTATGGGGTCTCTGCCCTCCATAGGGGAGCTTGCTCTCCCAGGGTAAGCCCAGGGCCAGCAGGGCCCATACAGCCTGCATCCTGAACCAGTCCATCAGGAAGGCAGTCTGTGACTGGGCCCCGGCCTCTATCCCCTGCCCTCTCATTCTGGGGAGGGTCGCTGAGCCTGGGATCCAGCTCAGGTACTCAGACAGTCTTATCAGGATTTTTTGATACTAAGAACAATTTTAAGGCCATAAAAAAAAAAGACAATAAAGGACGTGTGTAATAAGCCAATTTCTGGCCTCACCCTGGTTCTGCTCCTCTGTGTATAAAGTCGGCGGGAGAGAAGGAGACATTGGTGGCCAGTGAATATCTCTACCTGGGTATATGGGAGTGAGGGTGGCATGGGGCCCATACCTGTGTTTGCATGTGCATGCGTACGTGTGTGTGTGTGTGTGTGTGTATGTGTGTGTACGTGCGTGTGTGTGCTGGTGGTGGTGGTGGGGAGCTAGCACCTCTAGCTCTTGACTTCTTGTTTCTCGACCTGTATTTGTGTCTGGACTTTACTGCCCCCCTGCTAACCACGTCATCCGGGTCTCCTGGCTCCCCGGCTGCGGCTCTTCTTACTCAGGCTCTCTAGCTTCACTCTAGGGACAAGCAGGCAGGACCCGCTACTGATGAGGCAGAGTGACTGGCCACTAGAACCACACAAGTGCCTGGCATGCAGCAGGGGCCGCCTGTGCCCTCCTGAACTTGGCCTTCCTGGGGTGGGGGGAATGGGTGGTACAGAAAGAAGCCTTCATGGAGGCTTCCAGGGAAAAAAGAAAAGCTAGGGTTGGATCCTCCTAAGTCTCAGAGGTCTCTGCCTACTCTTGGCTTCTAGGAGCTCCACAAACAGCACTGGCAAGCAGGGCACCATTGCTTTATTAGGTACTACTTCAGGTAATACAGAATTTGGGGACCATTGCTTTATTAGGTACCACTTCAGGTAATACAGAATTTGGGGACCATTGCTTTATTAGGTACCACTTCAGGTAATACAGAATTTGGGAGGCACAGGACACCCGGCATGTAGGGCCCTCACTCCTGCACCCCCGTCTTCTGAGCCCAGGCAAAGAAGACACCCTTGACGTCATCTACACCCGTGCGGAGATGGGCAGGCATGATGTAGGTACGAAGGTCTCGTACCTCATAACCACCAAGGACCAGGGCCTCCCTCACCTCCTCCTCTGACACCGGCACTACAGACAGCCTGGCCTCCCCAGCCAGGTACCATGACTCCTCTAGGGCTCCGATGAGGAGGAGATGACCCCCCGGCCTCAGCAGTGTGGTGATGTGCTGCAGAGCCCGCTGGAAGCTGGCCAGATCTGGGCTCACAGCCTCTAGGCAGAAGGCAGAGACCAGGGCATCCGCAGGCAGGGGTGCCAGGCTTGAAGGACCCAGGGGCTGGGGCTGGTGTACATCAATGGGCAGGACTCGCTTCACCCTCGCTCGGAGCTGGCGTTCCTTCTCCTGCCAGGACTCGCTGTACAGGGGACACAAGGCAGGGCTCAGCCCCTCTGATGCCCTCCACCCCCAACCCACCACACCGCAGGAAGCTTCTAGCCCAGCTCTCACCCCTTGCCCTCGATGAGGCAAGCATGCTGGCTATACACACTCCAGTCGAAGGCTCCGGGTTCCTCCCGAAGCCAGAGTCCCAGCTCCTGCCGGTTGACCTCCAAGAAATCTGTCATGGTGATGTCCTCAAAGTGGGCACAGGCACTGAGTAGCTGGTATATGGTGGGGCCTGACCCAATGTCGATGAGGGCCTGTCCAGACACCTCACCTGGGTGAAGCAGAGAGAAGGGGGGTTCCTGCCTCAGCCATCTTTCCCCTCCCATGCTCTCCTAGCCCTTCTGGGTAGTGTGAGTGCCGGGAACAAGTATGGACGGACACAGAAATCAAGTTCTCCTGGGGCCAGCATGGCTCCTCTGTCTCCGGATCCACCACTCAAAAGCTAGGTTTAGTGAGGATCAAGTCGGAAGATTCTGAGACACCCAACCTTTCTCTCCATAGTCTCCAACCTCTGCCTCAGACTCTATCTCAGTGTCTCTCCTGCACCCCACCCTACCTGTCTCTCAATCCTAAGTGCCTTCCCCTCGAAAGAAAAGGAGTCTAAGTTGCCTAGTCAAGTCTCCGATTCTGTGGCTCAAGCTGTCCTCCAGCCTCAGCTTTCCTGGTAGCTGAGACTGTAGGCGGTCACGACCACGGAGCCTGGCTGACTTGCTTGCTCGCTTTTGATTGCATAAACCTTGTAAGTTTGCTTCTTGGTCCCCATCTAGTGTGCATTCGTGCATTCTTGTTTCCCTCTCCCCCCCCCCTTTTTTTTCCCTCATGACTTCTGCTCTCTCATGCCTCAGTTTCCGGCGCTCACCCGTAGCAAAGGTTTGCGCCATGCAGCGCAGCTTCCAAGGCCCGACGCCATCAGGGCTACTCAGGTCTCCACGAGGAGGAGCGTAGTTGTTGCGGAGGTAGGCGCGGGGCTCGAAGCGCTGGTAAGCCGAGGCGACAGCTGCCCGGCCAGGGTCCGAATCAGAGGCCATCTCTGTAGCGTGGTTCGGATCCGTGCCACCGCTCATGCTTCTGTTAGGGCCGCCTATCCCCTGCTTGCGTCGCCATCCCTTTATCTACCTCTGCCCCCCCACCCCTCTGTTGCAGAGGCGGCGGAAGAGGGATGAGGCGCTCGGGGCCACTACGTCTCTGTCACCCCATCCATCTCTGTTAGTGTCCGGAGAAACAGATACGCGGGGGTGTAGGGGGACCTTCTGGAACATAGATAGCTCCCTCTCCACTCCACCCTCGCTCTGCACCTAACACTCATCAGCCCTTCCAGTGCTGCCCTGAACCCCAACCTCAATTCCGGAACCCCTGCCAGGCATCCCAGCTCCTCTCTGGCCTCCCATAGACACTTTTGCTCAGAATTGCATCCCTTTTCTTTCCCAAGGTTTGGATAGCCCATGTTCCCAGTCCCAGGGTCCTCCTCCAAACCCCCTCCCCTCTCTTGGGGCACCCCTTACAAATCCCCCTTCTTAATAATGCCATCCCTTCTTCCAGGCCTGGATCCCAACTCTATCCTCCAGAAAGGACACTCTGTTCTGGCCTCTGTCTTGGTGGCCCGGGGGAGCCCCTGAACAGGTCTCTCTGCCTTGAGCATCTGATGGCAGCGGAGATAAGAGGTGAGCGGGCTAACGAACAGCAGGGCATCCCCTGCGGGCCTCTGGGGCTGTCCCGTTGCTTATCTGGGGCCCAAGCACAGGATGTTCCTGCCACACCAGGGACACCGGACTCAGGTAAGAACAAAGAGTACTGAGAGCATTCTTGGTACTGCCACCGCCACTAGAGGGGCGCGCGGCGCCGCGCTTTTGACATTCCAAGGATACTGGTCCCTGACACTTCTCCCCAGTCAGCACTCCTGTCTCTACTGAGGAGCTGGCAGGGCTTGGCTCGCAGGTTTTGCTTGGTGCTCCAGGGACCTGGCACACAAGCTTCCACTTTTCCTACTCGTCTGCTCAGAAGGGCACACCACCCTGCCAACAGCATCTTCTGTCTCCCTAAAGAGGAACCCTCTGGATGAGCCCTGCACCCTTCCAGGGTGGGTAGGATACCGGTCTCTGCTAAGGTAGCCCTGGTCTTTCTATCCAGTCCTCCTCTGCGCTCCTTACTTATTCCATGGGACGGTCTCCTTGCTGGCTTGACACCCAGGATGGGACACGCATCAGTGTAACAGCTGCAGGGGTCATAGACAGGAACCTGATCCTGTCCTCCCACCCAGGCCGGGGAGGGTGGGGCACCCGGTGCCAGCCAAGGACTGAATCCGTCTGGATCTACAACTGACAGGCCTGTGGGTCACTGACCCCATCCACACCCCAAGGCACAGCCAAGGGCAGCCTCTGTGCCAGCCCCTTCCATATCCTCCACAGATATCATTTAAACAAACCCTGATGCCAGCTGGCCTGCTAGGTACTCTCCAGTGCCAGGGAGTGGACACGAAAGCCAGGACCGGGCAGTGACACAGGAAGGGGGGCCAGTTACCCTGTTTATAGCTCTTCCCCTGCACCCCACCCCTAAGCATGGAGTATATCCTCTGGCTGTGCCGTATTTAGCTCAAATGCATGGCTGTTCCCAGAAGTGCCTGGGAGACGCCGTGCTCATCCCCAACCACAAAGAAAGAGAAGCCTGGAACATGGCTGAGCATTTATTGCAGTGCTAACAGAGGGTGCTGGGGGCCTGCCCTGCTCCTGCCCTCTTCACATCCCCCTCCCTCTAGTCTTCAAGATTCCTTCCCAGAACATTCCAGATCCCTTTTTTTTTGTCCTACTCCGTTTCTGTAACCGAACAGGTCTGTTTCCAGGGGCCTCTCGCCCTCGTCAATATCTCTTGTCCCTTCTTCTGGGGCTGAGGGTACTCAGCTCTCCACATCTAGGGTCCACCATCTTTGCTCCCCTTCCTTTGGGAACTCAGGACACCTAGGCATCCTGGCCTCTGGCTCCCTCCTCCCATAGCCCCCACCTCTGGGCAAACTACAAAGCGGCCATGGCCAGCAAGCAGCTCTCCTCCATGGTCCTAGCCAGGAAGGGCCCAGCCCCAGGCAGACACGGTGGAGCCGGAGTCCGTCTCAGCCTCTCTGAGCTTCCTGAGACATGGATCTAGACAGGGTACGCCGCAGGGCCCCGGGTTTGCTGACAGGTACCACGGGGGGAAGCTGCTTGGTGATCTCAGCCACGTCCTGGCGCTCCACGCACTGGCCGCCCAGGGCTGTCTCCAGTGCCAGCAGCTCCCGCAGCTGGATGGGGGTCTCCTCGCGCTCCTCCTTGGCAGCTCCCACCTTGGTGGGGGTGAAGATGGGCAGCGGCAGCACCCGCTGGTACGGCAGCTGGTATTCCTGCAGCCCACGGCCTAGGATGCCCAGGCGCATCACCAGCCAGGGTGAGCGTTGTACCACGGCCTGACACTGTCCCTGTCTGTGGTAGGTTTCATGTCTCTGAGTATCTTCCTCATGCAGGGAGCATCTGAAAGTAGAGAGAAGGGTTGTGAACTCCTGAGGACGGCTGTTCGGGTCTCAGGCTAAGTGGAGTCTCCCTGGATGGCCAGGTTTCTGGGGTAGGGGAGGGCCATCAGAAACTGAAGGGCTTGAGACTCTGGTGTGGACAGGGGGCTCTAGGGAAGCAAAGGCAGACTTTCCAGGTGATCTGTCACACTCACCCCTCTTCCGGCCTGGTTGACAGAGTCAGATCTTTCCACTCAGCCCAGAAGGCTTCCCGGCGTTCCTGGTTCTCCTCAGACACTTGGCAGCTCAGCTCTGAAGTGGCCATGATCCCTTCTTGCTCCCTCTGCTACGCCTGGCTCCTCCGGAGCCCTTTAAATAGCCCCCTTCTCCCACTGCTCCCCCTCTTCCAGGGACTATTTTCAGCCCCTCTGGCGTCAGATGCTATAAGCAGAGCCAAGACTCACTGGTGGAGGGGGGGCTCTGAGTCCAGGGCGGGGGTTGGGGTACCTAGATGCTGGCTGCTCCCGGGGTCAGAGGTCAGCTTCTAAAGAAAGGAAGATGCTCCGGTGGGGTCTGGGGTCCTCAGAGTGGCACCTCCAGGCATGTGTCATTCTGTAAATACCATCTCAGCCCAGGCACATGCCCAGCCTCGTGCCACCTTGGCACGGTCCTCTGCCCTGCCTGCTCCCCCTTGCCCAGGAAGGACAGCAGCTTGTCTGTAAACAGAACAGGAGAAGCAGGAATTGATGCCCCCCTCACTCTGTCCCATGGCTGCTGTCTCCCCTTCCTGGGCTCAAGGGCACGCGTACCTTAGTGAGGCCCCTTCACTAGAAAGATCGTGTAACCATGTCCTCAGGCGTCTACACAAAACCTGGTTCCTAACCAGCAACATACCAGCAGCGGAGGGGGCACAATTGCCACACCTGAGACCCCTGGGTAAGAATCTCTGTGTGAGTTCATTCCCTAGGATCAGCGGTTAGAGAAGTCGTCTCCTAAGGGTCACAGGTCAGGGTGTAGGAGGCAGGTGTAGGAGGTGCCACTCACTCCCAGCGGCCTATGTGGGGAAGAATGGGGTGAGCTAGAAACGGTGTGTGTGTGTGTGTATTCAGCAGTCAGGAGACCCAGCACCAGCCTCTAGCTGGATGTTTTATGTAACCAGGGGACAGTCCCTACCCTCTTCCGAGTCTCACTTTCTATGTTTTCCTGGCCACAGCGGAGTGACCCGGAGAATTCTGGGACCTGGCAGCTCCGTGGTTTTACCTGGGGACTAGCTACTAGCTCTCTCACATAAAGCAGAGGACAAAGGTGTCATGAGAACACCCAAGCATCCAGGGAGCAATTCATGGTACAAGCTGGTGAACAAGATGGTGGGCTTGGGGGTGAGGGGCGGAGGAGAGGAAAGAGGGCATTGCTGAGGGAGTAAGCAAAGGCCACCAGAAGAAGCGACAGAGGTGGGGGACTCCTGGGGATGCAGAACCGGACATGACTGATGGCTGAGGCCTCTGCCCAAGCCACAGATCATTTACCTCACAGCTCTACGGCACTGGTCCCTTCCCTTGGACAAAGTAGGAAATGGAGGCTCAGGAAAGGTCTGCCCTGTTTTACCTTGTACCCAGCCAGGACCAAGACAAATCCACCTGGCTCCAAGTCAATACTCCTGTGAAATCCATAAGGGGTGGGAGGCGGGGGAGGGGGAGAGAGCTGGGCCTAGAAGCCAGACTCCAAGCTGCCCCTGGCGTGAGAGCAATGGGGACACGCGGACAAGTTGAGCCTTGCAGACCCAGGGTCTGTGTCTGGGGTGCCACAGGTACCTCAGGAACCCTGAAGCCAGGTACTACCTCTAGGTCTGCTGTGGCTCTGTGGGCATCTCCCCAACCTCCAGCACTGACCTGGGACCCTCTCGGGAGAACCTTTGAGGGAAGGAAACCTAGAAACTGCTCAGCCTGGGTGCTGGTGAGGGAGGGGCTAGGTGGTGTTTCTCTCAAGGGCTTCCAGGCTCAGCTCTGCAGTGAGGCCCAGGTTCCATAGCAGGTAAAACTTTTTTAAAAAAAAATAATTTATTTTTGTGGGGAAAAGGTCTATCTGTGTAGTCCTAACTATCCTGGAATTTGCTATATAGACCAAACTGGTCTCTAATTCAGGAGATACTTGCCTTTGCCTCGTAAGTGCTGGGATTAAAGGTATGCACCACCGCAACCGGCATTTTACTTTTTTATTTCATGTTTTTAAATGGCTCAAATTATTACAAAGGTCCCCAAGGAGGCCTTGGGAGAGGGGAAGGACATGGAGAGGCAGAGATGCGGGACCATCCCGTCGCCCCACCTGCCCTGACATCCCGCAGTGTGTACGCAAAAGGGTCACAGACCCTTTCGCTAACAGTACAAACCATCCTAGCAGTCGGAATGGAGAGTCTTCACCTTCGTGTCAGCAACGGGCAAGCCCAGGTCCCTGTGACCAAGCTGAGATCCCTAGGGAAGCATGGCGGGAGTCTCCTCCTCCAGAAGGCAGGGACTGCCCTGGTTCCTCCAGCCTGGGGCACCCCAGGGTCCACGTTCCCGGGCAGTACCCGTCAGTGGGAGGGTATAGCCCAGGGAATGAGGCGCTACCCGCTGCTTGGTACAGTCCTTCATGAACAGCAGGAAGCCCAGAGTCTGTCTTTCCAACTCTGAAGGCTATGGCAGCAGTACCCTGGCCTGCAGGGTGGCGAGGGAACACTGTCAAGCTCGGGCCCCCAGCTCTCCAATGCGTTGCCGCAGGTGAAAGGCGAATTCAAACATGGTGGCTGCAAGGCTCTGGTGGATAAGGTACCGAGGCAGGCGACCCTACAGGGCAGGAAGAAGTCATACCACGGCTAGCCTGCAACAGGGTCTCCCATCAGCAGCTCGCACTAGCAGGGGCATCCTGGGCCAGAGGGCCGATGTATCTCTGGAATTTGCCTGGGCCCCCTGTCCTCTTACTCACAGAGGGAGGAACACGCTGTGGCCACACAAGCACAGCCAGGTTGGAGGTGGGCTGGCAGCCCGCCATCCTTGCTGGGGACCCAGGGATCAGGAATAAGAAAGGGCGTCACATGTCACGTGTCCCACAACTCAGGGCTAGAAGGCCACCTGGACCTTGCCACCAACCAATCCAGTAAAGGAGACTGAAAGTGGGAGGTCCCTGAGTAGGGCAGAGAGGGGTTAAGGTCACATAGCAACCAAGACTCCATTCCACAAGGCCTGCCTGCTGCCATGACCTCACCTTGAGATCCGTGTTAAGAATCCAGATGAAGGTGCACACCCGGGGGTTGCTGGCTGACTTGAGCACAATGAAGCCTCCAGGACCATTCTCTCCCCTGAGGAGGGAAGCACCACAGTGGGCGGCTGCTGAACACCGCAGGTCCCCCAAACCACCCTCACCCCAGTCTCGGTCCAGCTGGACTGTGGTGGAAAGAGGGGCACGGATGACAATCCCTGCCTCAGTGCAGCTCAGAGCCAGTGCCAGGGGCGGCAGGACCTGCCCTCCACCCACCACCCATCCCACAGTGGCAGGGAGCCCACCACCTTCCCAGTCCTTATCCGCTGTGTACAGACTCATGAAGTAAGGTAACTGTGACAGTGGCCTAGGGTGGCACTTTGCACCACCCACCTCTGGGTGGCATGGCCTCCAGGAGAGGGAGCCTTCCCAGGAGGAAGCTGGCCCGCAGGCTGCTCTTCACCTCCCATGGCCTTTTTGCAGAGCACACTTAAGCTACTGCCACAGATAAGGAGGTGACGCAGAGGACACAAGCCTGCCCATCTCCTAGCAAGGCTACGGCAGCACCACAGAGCCCTAATCTGAAGTTCGTGAAGACAGCTCTGCTGGAGCCACCTCTTGGGGTCACCCCAGGAGTCTGATCAGCTGTGGGGGTGTAGGGTAGCCCTCCCCGCTCTGGTAGCACACGGACAGTCAGTGAGGACAGTTAGTCAAGGCAGAAAGGTATAACCCAGAACCCAGCGCCCCCGCCCAGCTCCTCAGCCCATTCCTGGGACTGTCTCAGCCAGGTGCCCACCACACATACCCCCCCCCCCCCCCCCCCCCCCCCGCCTCTCTCCCCCCCCCCCCCCCCCCCCCCCCCCCTCCTCTCTCTCTCTCTCTCTCTCTCTCTCTCTCTCTCTCTTCCCCCCCCCCCCCCCCCCCGGCCCCCCCCCCCCCCCCCCCCCCCCCCCCCCGCCTCGGTGACGGCGGCATGGCTCCAGGCAGCAGGATTAGGGCTGAGATGGGCAAGGCTGGTAGGCCGGGACCAGAACATGGCTTTGGCCTCAGACATGGAGGGGAAGGGTTGTTCCAGGTGTACACACTGTATCCTGAGTGGGTCACAGCTCGAGGGAGGCCAGACTCACCTGACATATTTGTGCGTGGGGGGCTTGGCACAGTGTGTGGTAGCAATGCCAGATGACAGGTACCGGTCTCTGCGCCGCTCAATGCGCCGGACATTCACAAAGTCCCTGGGGGTGGGAGGTAGAGGCAGGTTAGAACAGAGGTCCCGAGCGTGTGGGAGGCTTGGCTAAGAGAGGACCTAGGTGCTCACCTGGGGGACACGACGCCACCTGCAGCCCCAGATGACACATCATAGGAGATGAGGGTGCTGTCCTCCACCCGCTGCAGGATCTAAGGGCCAAGCAGGGAGATCTGAGGTACAGGGGAAGCCCCGACATTGCCCAGGCACCTCAGCATCTCCAAACCAGCCTCTCCCTGTCAGGGATGCTGTGCTATGAGCCACTGTCACCTATGGGCCCAGGGCTGGGTATAAGGTAAGCACACTGAGCCTTCTTGCCTCGTGGCCTTCTCCAAAGGAACCATAGCAGCACCCACTAAATACAGAGAAGCTAGGTCCCCTGGAGGGAACGGTTAGGTGTGACTGTGACTGATCCATGTCATAAGAGGTGGCAAGCAGGACCCGGGTGGCTCACCTGGCAGGCGGTCACTGTCTTATTCCACAGCACCATCCTCTCGGGCTGCAGGATCACTTCCTGGTACACCAGCTCAGCAGGACAGGGCAGGAAGGTCTGCAGGAGGGGGTCAGGGCTGGGTGGTGCCAGAGAAGCGACCCCCCTCTAGTGGGGAGATTTGGCGGCAGGACCCCAGCAGAGCACAGGAACTCCCTTCCCTACTCACCTTCAAGATGAAGGTCTTGCCATGGAAGGGAACCTCAATGGTGTACACAGTGTCCCCATACTCCTGCAGCAAGGACAGAGGGTGACAGGGAGGAGGGTGGAGGGCACCTCTGGGGACGGGAACTTGTGGCATGGAAACAGGTGACAGGCCAGGTAGGTTTCCAACAGCCTAAGGTGAAAACCCCAGGACTCTGGGGACATCTGGGCAGCCTTCAGAACACGGTGGTGGCTCTAGTGAGCAGGACCACGTGCAGAGGTCAGCTCTGCGCTCACGTTGAAAGTCAGCTCAGCTGTGACTGGAACCGTGACAAACCAGAACCACAGCTCCAGGCTGCCAAGGGCTGCCAGGGGAACTGGCCAGCAAAGACCCGGGCATGCTTCCCTGTTTCCCCAGCTAGCTGCAATCTTTTTAGATAATGCTCTTTTGATCATGAAACAAAACACCACACATGGGACGCAGGTTGGCTTCCCCTCAAAGCCTGAATCCCAGGAAACCAAACATCAGGGAGACGAGGCCTGGGCGGTGGAAGACGGGGAGATAGAGTCCAGCCCAGCGTGGCCTCCAACTGAATGGCTGGACCCCAGGCTGCGGGTAGCTCCAACTCTAGATCCACCGCCTCCCTGGGGCGGGTTTCCGTTTACTCAACCCTCAGGTTCACTTCTCAGGGCTCAGAAAAAGGGTGAAGACTCCTGCCACACACAGGGGTCAGGTGGGCAGGGGCTCCCGTCACACGCAGGGGTCAGGTGGGCAGGGGGTCCTTACATTGCTCCTCTCGAACTTCCAGTTCTCCTCTTGGGCCAGGATCTGATCCACCACTGCCGTGGCTTCCCTCCCCTGGCGGATGTACTCCCGCTCCTGGAAGGGAACAAAGGGAAGGGAACAGAGAGGGGTCAGCGGGGGGTGGGGAGGGTGGGGGGTGTCTGTGCCCTCCTGGCTCAAGTCTGTTCTTTCTCCACACATTCCACAACCCTTCCTTCCAGAAACCTGTCCAGCTGGATGTGGGGCTCAGGCTGGTGCCCCTGACCCTACATACTTTCTGTGGTCTGCAGGACTGGCTGTTCCTGTGTCCTCGGGCACAGGACGGGCCAATGGGCCTGACCAGCCCGTGGTTGGGCAGATACTCCAATAGACAGGCACTAACTGGCACTCAGAGGTCTTTCCTCTGCAGGGAAATCTGTCCAGCCTGGCAGAGCCCAGCACTGGCCCGTTCCCAGGCAGTGGTGGAGGTGGGCAGCAAGATACCTGGGCAGAGAAACTTTTCTTCCCAGGGACTTCCTCATCAGATTCACTGTCAGACCCTGCAGGGAAACAAGAGCAGATGACAAAGGCAGGGGGTGGGGAGCCAGAGGAGGAGGTGGAGGGGTTCAGAGATGAGTGCAAGAGTGTGGGGGCTAAAAGTGTGTGGGAGAGGGTTGCTGGCTTTCCCCAGAGAGCCTGAGAGAAGGAACAGAAAGAACAGACCCAGCCTACCTGGCTCCCCACACAGCCCCTCCCTAGAGGCAGCTCCCCACCCAGCAGCTCTCACCTGCAAAGGATTCTGGGGGAGAGTAGAACTGGCCCTCAGACAGAGCACCGGAGAACAGCAGAGGTCCACGGGCAACAGCAGCCTGGGCAGCAAGATACCCTGCAGAAGGAGACACGGGCAGCCATTATCCCCGGACAAGCTTTAGACTCAGCCTCGCAGAGGCTGATAAGGTGGCAAAGGGGCTCAGACCGACTAAGGCATGCTACTCCCCCGCTCAGAGCCGAGAAGACCTTCTCAAACCCAGTCCGGCCAAGCCTAACCCCCAGCACTCACATCTCTCCTCTTCAGCCTCCTGGGGTAGGACTTTAAAATCAAGGAACCAGGTTTCCAACCAGGCCAGGACAAAAGAGACAATGGGAAGTAGGTAGCCGAATGCCCCTTTGCTGAGCAGCTGAGACAGGA